TTCATCCCTAAATTCAGCTACACAAAAAAGAAAATCCCCCAAAAAATCTAAATGAGTAATTTTTTCTTAAAATAAGTGCTTTTTTTCTTGAATTAAGGAGGTAAGTGAGACACTTTGCCAATGAAACAAGACAATTTTCATTTGAAATAAGAAAAAAACAACTGCATTGTCTTATTTTAAGAGCATTTTATCTAATTATTTTAATTTAAGAGTAAACATACTCATTGGCAAATCATGTGAGTTACCTACACTGCAAAAACGATCTAGAAATAAGTAAAAATTTCTTAAATTAAGTGTATTTACCCTTAATTTGAGCAGGTAAATTAGATAGTTTGCCAATGGATTGAGTAATTTTACTCTTAGAATAAGATAATTAGATAATTTGCACTTGAAATAAGACGATGCAATTGAGTTTTCTTATTTTAAATGTAAATTTTCTTGTTCCGTTGGCAAAATGTCTCTTTTACCTCCTCAATTCAAGAACAAATGCACTTATTTCAAGAAAAAGTGACTAATCTAGATTTAGATTTTTTGCAGTGTATGTAAAAGAGATTTTTAAACGATTGTCTTGGATTAGCTTCTGCTACGTTCCAATCACAAGCAGCAAATGCAGCAAAAACGCGCGTGCTGTTTCATTTTTGATGCTTGTACAAGTTTAGTTCTGACATGCGGCTGAAGTGTCTTTGCTGCTCTGGCTGCGCGGTCGAAAAGGCCAAATTTGATTTTCTTAACGTCACTTATTCTGTTATATTTATAAACTTTAGGGTTGATCAGAGTATTATTGTTGTGAGTGTTGTTTCATGCTTTTTTCCATGTATTTCTGTTTTAGGCACATGCTGAATGTAACATGGGAAAGAAAAGAGCTTTCGTTCAACAATCAAGGATTTCTTTCCAACCCCTCTATGGTCATCATTGCATTGGACCGGGAGAAACTGTGGGACAAGGTAACCTGACACGCTTCACATTAATCCCTCTGTCAATAAACCACGTAAAAGCATAATGAAAACTTCTGTCCTGCTTAAGGTCTAGTGGAGGATTTTGTTTGCTTGTCTACATTTTCACTTTCTGGTGGTGAGTCTGACATAGTGGAAAAAAATGCAAATCTTGTTTTGGAAACTAAGCTTGTATGAGTGATGCAAAGAGAGCATGCACGAGGAGAAATGGGCTCTTGCACACGTTTAATCGGCGTTCCCTCAGGGTTGTGCATGTGCATTTTCTTTTTTAAGTGGAGAAGGCGGGTCTTTTCAAAAATTCACGAAAATCCTCCATTATACCTTTGAGATTTAAAAATGAGGGACATTAATAAAATCTCTAACAGATACGTCACCAATAATGCAGCAAAAAGGGAGGTTTCTATTTATTAAAATCAAGGAGACTTTATTTATTTAAATATTCAGATAAGTTACATGTTAAACAGAAACTGTCCTAGAAAGCATTTCCACACTTGGAAAAAAAAAGAAAAGTCATTTTTTCTTAAATTAAGTGCATTTGTTCTTGAATTTAGGAGGTAAGTGGGACACGGTAATGGAACAAGACAATTTACATTTAAACAAAGAAAAAAAAAAAACCTAACCCTTATTTCAAGTGCATATTGTCTAATTATCTTATTTTGAGAGTAAAAATGCTCATTCCATTTGCAAATCATCTTATCTACCTGCTCAGATTAAGGGAAAATATACTCAATTAAAGACATTTTTACTTATTTCTTTTTTGCAGTGCAGGTGTCAGTCTATATTTTGATCATTTGATTTTCTTTTTAGAAAAGGACATTTAAAAAAAGCAAAAACCACTTAGCTGTTTGATTTTTATTCAAAAATACAAAAATTGAAATTGAAATATTTTTTGCATCACAAAAAAAACTTTGACTTTATAAAAAAAATTTTAGAGTTTTTTTTTTTTCCATTTACAAAAATATAAATCACTGTAAACAGAAACATACTCAGACCAGTTTGA